TAAGTCTGTATCCTTCTAAATGTTTCCTTACTCTGGAGCCCATTCAATCACTCTTTCATTCCTCGATCAGTCTGTTTATCTGACATTTATATTTGCTCTGCAACTCCATCCATTCACTTAATGCAACATTTTACTATCTATATTTATGTAGCAGACTCTTTGGAGGGCAGCCTGTTCTGCAACAGCAGCCAATAACACAATCAAAGACTTCTCACTGGAAGTCTGCTGCTGAGACTTTGCACTTGCAAGTTTCTACATGACAGAAATGTGTGACCACTGCGTATAAACGCCGAACCATCTCATATAAAAAGCACATAACAGCGCTCTAAGGTCCTTAACTACGACATATTACATTTTGGACAGTCATGCATCGTCAAACGTGAACGCTGTAAGTACAGCCGCTGAAAGAATGAATGCATTACAGGGTGTGCTGGAGCGCGATTTGATGTGTAAAAAAAAAAAAAAAAGATTTTGAGAAAAGTAGCAGCCAGCTAAAGAAAATAAATTAAACTGGCAAGCGGCAGGTAGAATAAAGCTCCAGAGGAGAAAGCAGGAGTAAGGATTTCACAGTCAAATAACTTGTGACATTTTTGACTGGAGCTGTTGATGAGATAGCGCAAAGAATTACCTTGGTGTGTCAAAACAGGTTCTTTTTCTCCGTTTTATGCTTCCCAACAAGCACCAATTTATAAAAAGAACAATGGAGTGGAGAAATTAGACTTTTCAAAAGAGTTCTGGGAAGTTTAATGTGAGCAGTCACTTGTTCCTTTTTCAAAGTCAACAGCCAGACTGAATAAAAGCCCTAAGCCTGTGGCTAAAGAAGGTGCGGAAAAACTCTCGAGTTTAACAGAAAATGTGCGACGCGCCGAAGAATTTAAGACAATAGAATTATTATTTCCGTGCCTAAAAAATCTTTTTTCCTATTGTTACATGTGATGGAAGAAAACATCATATGAATGCTAAAAATGGTGCTTCGATTTATGCTAGGCACAGTTTTTAATAGTCATCTGTCTGCAGTACATTGCCATGTGTTAAACTGTGCTTCGCTTCCAATTTGGGACGAATCAAAATACACTGAGCACCATACCCCACAGCCAATTGCCACTAGCCCACACACTCTTTAAGTATAAATGCATATGTTTATCAGTGTTTGACCAAAACCCGACAAAAACAAGACGTGCCGTGCCAAGCTGTTCTTCACGCAACACATAAAAAATGTGTCAGCCGGAACAAACACGCTAATAAAAAGTTTAAAAATAGCTGGTGTGAGATCAAAAGAGTCATTAGTAAAGTAAAATCACTCATCGCCTAGGGTAGGGGTGTCAAACATAAGGCCCGGGGGACAGAATCAACCCAACTTCGACTCCAATCTGGACGGCTTTTTAGGTAAATGTGAAGGAGTTCAAAGATCTTGACATTTTAACTGTATTTTCATCAATTTTAAGCTTGAATTGTCATTCATGCTACACCAAAGCAATTAAGTAACAGATAAACAATTAAAGGGTTGGAAATTCCGATTATCTGAAAGAAATTTACATTTCTTACAGTAAGTTCAAAGTAGAGTGCATCTGGCCCTTGATGTAAATTCAGTTTGACATCCCGGTAGGAATGTCAGATCGTATAGCAATGAGCTCACTATGAACCCAGACAGGTCATTGTTGCATTCAGCTTCCTCATATAGTCGCTCATCCAATATTATGTACTACATGACCGCAAGTGATACACAGTCGGCCTGTATGTGGTTATTATAGAAGGAAAGGGAGGCAAAGTGTAGTAACCAAATAAGATGATTATTAAAGTTCAGCTCATAAACTGTGATTCTGTGACAGCTCAGGGTCTGAAAAAAGACTTCCTTTATTTTTCTGTGAGATTAATTAATTAGATTTTTTTTCATGTTTCTGCTGTTTAGTACGCTCTCAAAATCATATCTTTCAGTGATCTGAATAAATGAATGAGAGACATGTGCAGTACTTGTCTTGTACGTGCCTTTCCATTAATGTGACTGCATTCAGTGGTGAATGCAATACAAAAACGTTAGTAGGTTCAACCTGAAGCCGCCATGACTTTTATGGAAGAGTGACTCATTCAGATGGAATCAGACACATGAAAAGGAGGGCACGTCTGAAAGTCGTTGACATCAGAATGCTTTTACGGCTTATTTTTAATACAGCATTTTTTGTTATCAGCTGGAAATTTGGAATGGGATAGTGGCTACAAAATGAAAGGGTAGTGGATAAAAAAATGATACACTGGGAATCACTGGTCAAATTTTGGTCAAACATCGATAAACACACTGGGAATGACACCTAGCCAGAAGGCTGGGATTTTTAGAGTCCTGCTACGTGCCTACCATCTGAAATTGCATCATTGTTTCATTGCAGAAAAAAAAGTAACAATTCAAATTTAATGAGATCCTCATTTCAAATTCTATGCGTGCAAATCAAATCCACTGCTCATGTGATGTTCCTACACATTCAGATTCTCTTACACCTTCAAGTCTTTCAGTGCCATTTCATGTATATGAAAAATAAGGAAGCTGGACTTACCTAGTCTGTTGTCCAATGCTCCAAAATCAAGAGAGTACTTGACAACGTGGTAATTGTTCCAAACATACAGCAGATTGTCCCTGGGGTTATAATCCACAGCAGCAATGTACTGATAGGAGTTGGGGAAAGGGATGTCCAGGAAGCCGTCTTTACTGAGTTCTGTGTTGTAGATGTAATCGATCTTGTTTCCCGTCGCTTCATTGTCATCATCCTCATACACCGACTTCACCACATAAAGGATTCCGCAAATCATGAAGGCGTTGGATGCCGAACGCTTGTCATACGCCGTGTCCCAGGTCCCCTCAACGCGCAGTGTGTAGGGATTGAGTTGGCTGATCACAATCCGCCCGTTGTTCTGCTCGGTCGCGTAAATCACCCACAGGCCGTTTTCGTCTACAGCCAAATCAATGTCTGATTTCCCTCCCCAGCGGTACGGAGACGTGTCGTGGTAGTTGGCGTTGGCTATGATGGCCTCGCCGCTCTTGATGCGAGTTCGCAGGTCAAACTTGACAATGTTGCGTGTGCGCTCCTTGTTGAAGAAGAGCGCTCCGTCGTAGACCACAAAGCCCGTTCCGTCAACGCGATGCGGAAGCTTGTAGGTCGTTGTCGGCCTTCCAGCGACAAAGTCTTCTTTGGATGAGTATTCGGTCAAGGTGTCTGTGCGGTAGGGTGTCCAAGGCATGTAGTAGATCTTATCCGAAGCTTGAAGAGGGTCTTTGCACCAAGCTCCGGACTGGTGGTCCGATTCAAAGAGATGCTCGCTCTGGTACACCCTCCGCAGTAGCCCTGGGCACAGGAATACTGAGGAGCCAAAAATGGGGAAAGACAATTACAGAGTTACATTGGCAGGTATTAAACAGACGAATCAGAGACAAAATTGAACAAGTTTAAATCTGTGTTAAGATGGGCAGTTTTAGAAGAAAAGCAGATAAAAAAAGATTTGCGTGACGAACACTGATAGTTAGAATTGTTTGGATTTTATCACTAAAATTAAACAGAACACAATCAATAACAAAAAAACCCAACCCACAATGAGCCATTTCATTATTTCCAACAGTGTCTCCAGTGCAGTGAGCACTGATTTGCTTTCAATTACTTACTGTAGTCTTCAGCTGTTACATATGATACTTCGACTACAGTTACCGGACCCCAGAGGCGAGTAGTTACAATCTGTCTGAATAAACTGGCTTTGAGTTTGGAGGGAGAAAAGAGTAAATGAAGTCAGGGTTATCTCTGCTGACTTAATGCAGAGCAGAAACGAGTCAGAAGTCACTGATGGAACTTACCCGAACACCACTAACTCGCCCACAGAAACACACACAAATTACCATTTTGGTTCCCTTTAGTTTCAGTTACACTTTGCACAACGGCTTCTTTTCACATCCAATTAGATACTGTGCCAGGGAAGAAAATAGGTTTCAGTCTTCTCTTTGGTTAAAGCACCCCAGCGGCACTTCTTAGTAAACAGCATTAAACAACCCCCCAACCAACCTAAAAAATTTTGATAAATAGCTGCACTTCAATTATTGGCCAAGGTAGAGATTTAGGAGAAAGAAAACAAATTAAAGTGACATCATCTGTGTAATGATAGCCTGTCCATTATTTCACCTACATGACATTTTTCAGCCCCGTGACATGATTTACAGCCCCACACACAATAAACTAATTATATGTAAACCGGTTTGTAGTCAGATCTGATAAAGCCAATACAGCTGGAGAGGGTCAATGGTGGAAAGCTAATTTTAGTTCATTATGGATTATCGTGGACTGAGGCAATTATAATTTTCTTTTCTTTCTAAGTAGATTGCATCTGCATACAGAATTACAACAACAACACAGCGTAAGAGTTTAATACTGCAATTAAAATTGTACAAACAATAACACATGTAACAACGAAAGCTAAAACAGCAGACGAAGGACAAACACAGGCAGAAAAGAAGGCACAATTAAGAGCTTCCCCCACTTTCAACAGGTTTGCTCCAGACGAATATCAGAAATAAAAACGATGTGTGCGAGAAGGCTCTCTCCGCTGTAACAAGCCAGCAGCCTGACAGTGCGCTGACAGCTTCTAGCCGTGGATCCATTGAGAGGTAAAAGCTGCGGGCTCCGTCGAGGAAGAGACAGGGAAGAAAAAACAAAAAAACCACAGAGGCTTCTTTCCCTTGTAATCTCCTAAGATTAAACATGTTGTCTACCTGCAGGTGAAAATGTGGCGAGATGCGTCCTGTTGACATACAGCCTCGGCACACATCTCAGCGGTGCTCAGCTAAACGCTAAGAGGGCCGTTTCTATGGTTGAGAAACACAAGATGCGCTGGGGTACAAGGTCAGAGTCGGCAAGCTTTGTTCTGACAGCACACTGGGCTCTATGGAGGTTGTAAAATATGCTTTTTTGTCGTTTTTAAGGATGCAAGAGATGGAGGAGTGAATGGAAGACATTAGAGGAGCGATACAAAAAGGCTCACATGGCTTTCATGGGGAACTTCACAACCGTTACCACAGCAGCGCCCGTCACATCGGTAAAACGTTTGTAACTCCCCTTTCACCTTCGCTGCTCGTTCTCGTTGCTTCTGGTTTCGCGATACGTCATTAACTAACGACTACAACGAGACCGAAAAAAAATGCATTGCCTCGGCCATTTCAGCAGAGCTCTCGACTCGTTTAATGATTTCAATCCCATCTTTAACTCGAACCCGGCTTTATATTTATGGCGTCGTGCTAAAAGATAATGCGGCGCAGGTATCGAAGCCAAACTCATTCCCTTTCTGCGGTTTGGCTTCGATCCATCTTTATTGTTAACATCTGACAACGAACAAATTCTCCAGGTCGTGTTAAAAGGTAAGACTACAAACACGGTACAAAGCTCCTGGGGCACAAGTGTAGCTTTAGCATATGTTTTGCAGCATCATACAGTGCTGATAAGGTAAGAATACAGCTGCCATGATTTATCCCTAGTATTGACTCTTTTTAGTCCCTGAAGGTTATAGTCATCATCATGTTAGAGCTATAATGAAAAATGCTGACAGCTTACTGGACAAGCTATTGATCAACCTGTATAGGCCTCTGCTTTAATATTATGCAGCTGATAACGCAGAGCTGGAAGAATTTTCAGTTATTACAGGGAATAAAAACACGCCGGGGTTATGAGATTTCAGCAGCGAGGAGGTTTGCGATGGCTTGGATATCAGAACCCGTGTGGTTGATACTGCTGATGAACAAGAAGTGAAGGCACGGGGTCGCAAGGTTAATTAATATTTTGGACGCTGCTGTACATGAAATTCCCTAACGGTGTTTCATGGAAAAACCAGATATTCCCCATGAAATGCATGTTGAGCCACAGTAGCGAACAACACTACGAAAAGTTGCCGTAGCGGCCCGTCACCGGCAAATAGCAAGCGCGTGCCCAAATGGAAATGCAAGGTGACAAAGACAAAGAAAAGTTGTTGGTATTTAGTTACCTTTTTGTTCCACTTCTATTTTTTTAGGCATGAAGGGGAGAGAGAAAGAAAGAAAAAATACAAAGAACAGGTTAACATCGTGATCACTGTCTTTATTTTCCAGACACTCCAAGAGAAACATGGGTTAGTAACAGAGGGACACACAAAATTTGATCGTCAGTTGTTGTTTTTTAGAGAGCAGACAGTGTTGCGCCTCATATGAGCCTGCTGGAAAAAGACAGATTAATCAACTCTGAAGTTGTTGTAGAACATGCTCTGGGTTTTTGCACTGACGCCTGCACAGCAACAAAAAACAGAGACATCGCTGTGGGGATGGGAATGTATGAGACGAGGCAGGGCTTTTAGAAAAGGCATAAAAAACATTTCAACATATTGTCATTTATAGAGGGCAGGTTTAAGCTTAATGCTTCTGTCTGTTTAAAGCTTATAGTTAAATCAGGATCAGGGGACCTCGACCCTCCCTTAGTTATGCTGACCTAGACTAGAACCCTTCCCGGGGTACAATCAAGGCAAAGGGTCATTCACTTCACATCATCATCATCGTCATCAACTATCAACAAATCAACCAAATATACCTGTATTTACCTGCACTTATACACCTCTCATTCACCATGCCGGTTTTTCAGGATAAATATGAAAATCCTGTAATAATAATAATAATAATAATAACAATAATAATAACATAACGTATAACTATCCGCTGTGACTTGGAAACACTTGTTTTTAGAAATAAACCACAAGAAAGGAAAATTTATTCTTATTTCCATTAAGTAATCTACACTAAAAAACAATAATCCAACATTCACCCATGTTAATCTACTTAAATTGACCTAATTCTCCATATACAGCACAATGTGCAGCATTTCTGTTTAACTTAAGTAGCTTCTCTTAGCTTTGATTTCTGTATTTTGGCACTATATAAAATGCAATTGAATTTTCTCCAGTCATATAAAATGTTTACATATTGTAGACTTTTTAAAATCTTATGATAATTAGAAACTTCTGAATTCTTCAGAAATGTTTTAACCATTTTCAAGTTTGTTCAAGCAAAAAGAGAAAACAATCTGTCCAGCAATTCAGCCACTGCAAAACACCACGCATTGATTCAGCTCCTAAACTAATATTCAGACACTCATAACCTGAACAGACTGATGACAATAATGATGATTACCGTATACGATACCTCCCCTTATTCAATGGGATGCAGCAGATGATGTAAATCATTCTAAATTGACTGGTGCGACTGTTATTAGATTATTATAATGGATGACGTGCTGGATATTGATTTCACCTGGACTGAGATCGAGATTTAAATCTGCATAAACACATTCTTATTGACACACACTTGAAACATTGACATATTTCACGTTACCATTTGCACGGCAGACAGAGAGCAACGTTAGTATTAAACTGGAGTTTTATTAGTGGTCATCAGTGTTGAGGTAGTTAGATGACTAAGTGAAGGAGTAATGTGTTACAGCACTACTCGTTACTTTAAAAAAAAGTGCTTATGTTACTTAATTACTCTCTGGAGTAAGTAACGCACTACCTGCTGCATTACTTTTGCATTACTCTGTAAAATCATTTAATAATAAAACCCTACAGCTAGAGACTCATTAGCACAAATCCCTATCCTAATGAGGACATATATACAGTCTTTCTTTTAATGCAAAGCTGACAACAAGATCAATCCACTGAAATTCTACTGGAGGCTACAATACTAATGCTGACCATCACTGCCTGTTTTGAAGATCAGCCTCAGGCGGCTGGTCTGGGGTCAGCATACTTTCAGCTTTAACATCATTCTGGGTGTTTGGCTAGCTTTGTGTTAGCATGCTATCTGCAGAGATCTTTGCAGAGAATTGAAGTTATGTTAGCAGTGTAATGCAACTGTGTCTGTCTTGGACGCAGTTTGCATTTACTGTCACACCCTTGTTCTTTTGTGCCATTAAAAATTAAAAGCGATGCCCTTAAAGACTGAAATCAGGTGATTGTAGTGCAAGTGTGAAGAAGGAAACAAGCCTGTGCTGCTGTAAAATGTCATCTGATTGTAGCTCATTGTAGCCTGTTTTACCCAACACTGGCGGTCAACTAGCATGTTCAAATTTAGTATTCTCAGCCTTTCTATCTACCCAAAAAATATAAAAATAAATGATTTAAATAATAAAATGAAAAACCTGCTAGCTAAGAGATGCTAAATCACACAGAAGAGCTAAGCAGATCAGCAGAATCAAGTGATTAATTCACTCCAAGAGATCTCTCTCGCATTAGCATTATCCACTGTGAATAATAACTCCATGTACTTCTGAGTTCAGCTTCATCACTGTGACTTCAGGCAGGAAAATGTTTCTCACTGATCTACTTCTGTTACTCAATTCATACGTTAAGTAGCTCATTTCAAATTTAAAGTAAATTTATGTATTCAAATGGGAGCTTGAGTGACCTATTTTTTTAAACATGACTCTTGCAAGAGTAAGGGAAAAGTAAGAGCTGTTTGCAGTCTACATCTAAACAAGCACACCGAAAGCCTGCTGAAAACAAACTACTGAGCCTATTACATCTTAACTCTCTATATAATTCTTTTTTTCCGTGAAGTGAACAAGCCTTTTATGTCAGACATGGCGTTTTGTCAGTCTCCTTCATTCATAGTTGGCGTTAGCATCCACCCCGTGCGCCTGCTCCTGTCCCTTCCCCTTCAGTAATCCCGGTTCTAATAAGAGAGGATTAACCTCTGTTACTAGGGCTTACAAGAGTCCTCTCCTCCAAATGGAGAGTGCAACAGAGTGAGGTATGGAGGTCAGTGGGCAGGGGGCAGGTGGGGTAAAGTTTGAAAGATGGGAAAGTTATTAGAGGAGAACAATATTAATGAAGGCACTGAGCCAAGAAAAGGAGCGAGAACGAGGATGTCGGGCGACGGAAAGAGCACGAAGGAGAGGAAAACAACGGGGAGGGGAGAGGCTTGAACAAGTCGTCTGTGTTTGTCAGATCATAAACTGGTACAGCACAGCACCTCATTAACAGAAAACACTCCAGCTGTCACTGCAACACAACAAGTCCATACCAAGCGCGAGCAACCATCGCTTCGGGCTGCATGTGAATCGCTGTTACCGACACCCCAAATTTGCCAATAACTCTGAACAGCATGCGGACCCCATAGATCAAATCAAAGTAAACAGCCAAATGCTACCCGATCAAAGCCTCCTCACCTCCCGTGAGCAATGGCCACACAACGGGGACCGTGGGGAGGCCGGCGTTTCTGATTGAGCGATTGCTAACAGCGGCGAGGCGAGAGGAGGGTAATGATCTAAAGAAAAAGGCATTAGTGGCGGGGATGTGAGAAGCGGTATACAACGCAATCATCGGGGGAGACGGTGTGAGGAGGGAGTAAAGGATGTGGATGAAATCCCTGACAAGGAAATACGCCGCTCTCCGGGCGAAGTCCAGCACGGCGGCCCTTTCGCTCGACCGGACGACACCGCCAGATGCAACAAGGTCACCCATCAGAACGCTCGAACCGACTTGTCCTCGTTGTGTCGACTCATGTTTCACCGTAGACAGTACAGACTGAGATATACACCTGCGATATGCGCCTTGGACATACTCAGTCACACACACGCAAGAGAAGCAGCGGGGAAAAGCAGAGATGGAGAATTGATTCATTTGAAAAGCTTCTTTACTCCACCGCACCACCCCCATTGTGACCTTAATACGATTTTGGTCACGGCTGTCACTGAGTCACTAAAAAGCACTTAGCTCTCTCATCTCTTTCTTTTCTCTCTCCCTTCTCGCCTTTTTTCCTCTGTCCCCACTTTCACGTCTGAGAAACTATCAAAAAAAGTGCGCACAGATCAAAAAACATAAGGGTCCTTCCAGATGAAACACGGACCCGGCGCGGAGCCGTCGCATAAAAGAGGCCCTCGAGCATCATATTCATTGACTCGACAAAATAAAAATGATCCTTTGCCTGTACCCTATATTTGAATCATTTGATGGAGCCTTGTCCCGATGGCTTCGGAGGGCTATTCGTGAGTTATATACAGCGCTGTGTGTCAGTATTATTCACTATAATATCTGGTATTATTATGGCTTAAAAATTAAGCTTTTAACTGTAGCCTTTACTCTGCATTTTCATGGTCGAGCTTTTGTAGGTCTTTTTACAGCCAGAAG